CCAATGCACACCCTTCCTGATTCCACGATTTTAAACCATGCAGTATCCCCTTGTTCTGTTCAAATGACAGCCTCTTGGTCTATGCACAGGTTCCTCATGAACATAATTAAGAGTTCTGGGCCTACCATTCTTCGCAATGTTATCTGTAATTTGTTATGATCCATGTAGTTGAATGCCTTTGCATAGTCAATAAATCACAGGTAAACATATTTCTGGTATTCTTTGCTTTTAGTCAAAATCCATCTGACATTAGCAATGATATCTCTTGTTGCATGTCCTCTTCTAAATCTGACTTGAATTTCTGGCAGTTCTTTGTCAGTATACTGCTGCAACCGTTTTTAAAATTATCTTCAACAAGCTCAAAGAACTGAAGAAAAAAATTCAAGTTTGATCATATCTGCATTCTGTTAGATCACCTTTCTTTGGAATGGGCCCAAACATTGATATCTTCCAGTCAGTTGTCCAGGTAGTTAGTTGTCTTCCAAGTTTCTTGGCATCAATGAATAAGCACCTCCAGCATTGCATCCATTTTGTGAAGGATCTCAATGGATATTCCATCAATTCCTGGAGCCTTGTTTTCTTTCCAATTCCTTCAACACGCTTTGGACTTCTTTCAGTACCACTGGTTCTTGATCATATGCCACCTCCTGAAATGATTGATCATCGACCAATTCTTTTCACTACAGTGACTCTGTGTATTCATTCCTTCCATCTTCTTTTGATGATTCCTGCATTGTTCAACCTTTTGTGTATAGAATTCTTGAATTTTTCTTCAGTTCTTTGAGCTTGAGAAATGCTGAGCGAGTTCTTCTCTTTTGGCTTTCTGACTCCAGGTTTTTGCATATTTCATTATAATACTTTGTCTTCTTTAGCTGCCCTTTGTAATCTTCTGTTCAGCTGTTTTATTTCATCATTTCTTCCATTCATTTAGCTACTCTCTTTCTCTGTTCAATAGCAAGTTTCAGAGTCTCTTCTGACATCCACTTTGGTCTTTTCTTCCTTTCTTGTCTTTTTAATGACCTTTTGCTTTCTTCATGTATGATGTCATCCTACAACTTGTTTGGTTTTCAGTCATTGATGTTCAAAACGTCAAATCTATTCTTCAGCTGGTCTCTAAATTCAGCTGTGATATAATCAAGGTCATATTTGGGCTCTTGTGGACTTATTTTAATTTTCTTCACCTTCAACTTGAACTGGCAAGTGAACAATTGATGGTCTGTTCCACAGTCAGCTCCTGGGCTTCATCTGATGATATCGAGCTTCTCCATTGCCTCTTTCCACAGATGTAGTCCTTTGTATTCCATTTGGTGAGGTTCATGTGTATAATCTCCATTTATGTTGCTGAAAAATGGTATTTGCAATAAATAAATCATTGGTCTTGAAAAATTCTATCTTGCAGTCTCTGAACCATGGTCATTTCTTTCACCAAGGGTGTAATTTCCAACTAACAATGGAAACTACTGTTTCCAACTTTCGTGTTCCAATCCCCAGCGATTATCAATACACTGTGGTTATATGTTTGGTCAATTTCAAGACTGCAGATGTTGATAAAAATCTGCAGTTTCTTCATCTTTGGCATTAGTGGTTGGTGAGTAAATTTGAATAATAGTAGTATCTACTGGCTTTCCTTGTACAGTTTTGGATATTATCCTTTCACTGACAGCATTGTACTTCAAGATAGATCTTGAAATGTTGTTTTTGATGATGAATGTGATGCCACTCCTGTTCAAGTTGACATTACCAGCAGAGTAGACCATATAATTTATTCAAAATGGCCAATACCAGTCCATTTCAGCTTACTAATGCCTAAGATGCTAATCTTTATGTGTTACATTTCATTTTTGATGACTTCCAATTTTCCTAGATTCATACTTCAAACGTGAAATATGTTCCAATTATTAATGAATGTTTGCAGCTGTTTGTTCTCATTTGAGTTGTGCCACATCAGCAAATGAAGGTCCCAAAAGCTTTACTCCATCCATGTCCTTAAGGTTGACTCCATTTTGAGGAAGCAGCTCTTCTGCAGTCATATTTTGAGTGCCTTCCAACTGGCACTAACATAGTGCTCTTCTGGCACTATATTAGACAATGTTTCACCACTCATATGTCAGTTTGTTGTACTATGGTGGCGTACATGTAGCTGTGATGCTGGAAGCTATGCCACCAGTATTTCAAATACCAGCAGGGTCACCTATGGTGGACATGTGTGGTAGTTAAGGTTGTTGTCAACTTGGCTGGGCCTGGTTGAGTGGCTGGGCAGCTGGATGTAGTTATTCCACATGGTAAGATTGGAAATCAGTTCCATGGTGGAATCTACTGGAGCAGCTGAGTAGCTGCTTTAGGGATGTGGGCTGCTTCTAGTATTTAAGAAGCAGTTTTGAGAAAGGTCTCTAGCATTTTGGCACACTTGAACCTGCATATAGCCAAGTCATTATTCAGCAGTCTGCCCTGTTGATCATGGGACTCTTTCTGGACTTGAATCAATGGCCTGCCATGTGGTTTGGTAATATCAGGACAGTGCCTTTTCACTTGTCAACTTTGGATTTGTCAGACTCCTCAGCAGCCAGCAGCTGTCTGAGTGAAGAAAATCCTCCAGCTTCAGTGGGCCAGGAGCAGGAGGTAGAGCTGAAGCCCAAGGTTGAGTGGCTTTTACCCAGTCCCTAGAGCCTGTAAATTTGAATTCAGACTTAAAGCCTCCAAACTGTAAGAGAATAAACTCCTGTTTGTAAAAGCCAGCACTAGGTAATCAAAACAACATGCTTCAACAGAGCTTTCAGATTAGGAAGAAGGACATGGCAGTCCACTTCTGAC